TACTCTGCATTGGGGGCGGACACACTTGGAAGAGCATTTGTCATTTACATTGACCGCCGAATGTGCACGTTCTGCCCTTGCCATCATTGTACTGCCCAAAAATAAAAAAGAAAGAAAGGAAAAAATGGTAAGTTCAATTTTCCCTTTTTCTTTACCCAGCAAAAGCAAATGTAGCAACATATATGAGGAACTAAACCAACCGAAGCAATTGGACATGTTTTGATTGAAATTGAGATTAAGATTGCTGGAAGCAATTCCATTCCTGAGTCGTGCTGCAATTTCGTTCCTGAGTCGTGCTGCTGCAATTTCGTTCCTGAGTCCTGCTGCAATTTCGTTCCTGAGTCCTGCTGCAATTTCATTCCTGAGTTCATTCCTGAGTTGTGCAATTTCATTCCTGAGTTGTGCAAATTCAGCTGTAATTGCTTCTGGTCTTTCTATCACTTGTTGCTGCCGTTCTTTGATGTTTTGTTGATCCTTTCTAATCTCTTCTATCTCTGCCTTCAAACTTAGGAAGTTGGCCTTCAGATTTTTTGTCCCCGTCCTTCTCTGCACACCCAATTGAACAGTTCATTAGAGCTAGCAGCAGGGTATTGTTCAAAGTTTCATAAAAAATTTTTGTGCAATGTCCATCTGCTTGTGTGAGTTGTGCACATAGAGCTTCAATTGCTTCCAGTTTTTTTCTTACTTGTTTCGGCCTTTCTTTGATGTTTTGTGGATCCTTCCTAATCTCTTGCATCTCTGCCCCTGACCTTCCGAAGTTGGCCTCCGGACTTTTCTTCAGAGTCTTTCTCTGCACACCCAATTGAACAGTTCATTAGAGCTAGGAGCAGGAAATTGTTCAAGGTTTCATCAAAATTTTTTGTGCAACGTCCATCTGCTTGTGTGTCTTAACTTGCAAAGAGAGTATCAATAATAACATCTATAAAGTAAAATGCTCACATTACCCAGCATAAATCATATCCAATAATGACCTCAAATATAGCACCTTTCTTATACGAAAGAATATTACTATTGAACTAAAACTACTAGTTAATTAACCGTACCAACAGTTATTCAGAGTTGCACGGTTGGTATTGATGGCCTAAAAAACAGTTTGTATTAACTCTTTGAAAAACATCCGGAGCAATTAAAATCCAAGGAAAGTGAGCCAACCTCGAGTTGATACATTCCTCTTTGGCTTTTAATATGTAGAAAAATATTTGTGTAATTCAAATTGTACTATATTACAAATTATGATTATATTTAATATATATTTAATTTGAAATTGATTCGTTTATGTTTGAAACAAACTTGATTTTCAGTTCAAGTTGCAGCCAAACCAAATTGCTCAGCTTGTCAACTTAAAAATTTGCGTAAAACCAAAGTTTAAACTCCAAAGAAAATAAAATAAGTTCAAATTTGAGAATTTCAACATGAGTCTAAAATTTAAATTGAGTTAATAAAATTCAAATTGAACAAAGTATATTTGATTAGGTAAAAGTAAAGCATTAAACTATATAAAACACAATTATAATGCACAATAACATCATAAACAATAAAATGATAGTACCAACTATTAGATTGAAGCAAGAATTAAGAAGATAACAAACAAAAAAAAAAGGTAAGAACTAATAAGGCAATCAATATATGTAAACTCACATTGTTACCACTCAAGAAAGTAAAGAGTTATCAGAGTAAAGTTTTTGCTAGTATATGAAACAATTTAGGACTGTGCTATTTTTTAAATTAAATTATGTTGTATAATTATAGTACAAAAATAAAATAAAATAATGATTGTCAATACAATTATATTATATTAAAACCATAAAAAAGTATTACACAAAAGAAATAAGAAAAGTATAATAAGAAATAAAAATTTAAAATATAATTTGTGTACAAAAATAAAAATTCTAAAAATATATTATATTCTTATTTTACCAAAAAATTCTAAAATTATATTTACTAAAATACAAAAATAACAATGTTATTAATTGAGTTATTTTATAATAAGTGGTTTAATCGATTTAAAAGTAAGATCATAAAACAACTCATTTATATCAATTTTAAAATTTTATAATTTAAATTAACCTAAATTGATGTCACTGTAGATTGGATTTTGGGATATGAACAATCCTACCTCCTACCTCTCACTACAGGCTTTTAAAATTGAGAGATTATATTGTTTTTTTCATATTTCTAAATTAAATCATGAACTCAAATTTCTTAAAAGAGTTACCGCCTTAATTTTAGCCATAAAATATAATTGAAATCGTTACGTTGGTGTAATTCTTCCTCTTCCACCCAAATAATCAAATTATTTTCCTCCCCTAACAAATT